TTTTTTTTTTTTTTTGTAAATGATAAGTATCTTTGTTAGATTTCAAAAGTTTCAAGATACCCACCATAGAACACAAAGAATGAAACAAAAATTGAGTATTCGTGTAAATTAATTTAGCCGTGTGTGTGTGTGTGCCCATTTGTATGTTTATGATGTTGAAATGTTTACGGAGAATCTATTGAACGGAGGCTTTTTCATCTTGTCTGAGCTCTCTTCACCAACGGTCATTATGGTGACTTCATGGCCAGAACCCAGAAGGTTTTTTGCAAAGTAGAAGCCAATGACTGCATGCGCACCACTGTTGGTATTGACTATGAGAACCTTCTTTTTATCCGCAGAACTGGCCTTCACAGTGAAGGAGGAGAGAGAAAGTGGTCTGGAACTTGTGGGGCAAGTGAGGAAAGGGGGAGAGATGGAGAGAGAGGAAGAGAGATAATGAGGGTAAGCAGAGGAGGAGGAGGGGGAGGAAAAGAGTGATAAGCGAGGAATTGAAGTGAGTGAAGGCGGAGAAAGATTGTAGGATGGAGAAGTGAAGCGGAGAGAGGATGAGGGAGCAAGAGTAGCCATTNAGTGAAGGCGGAGAAAGATTGTAGGATGGAGAAGTGAAGCGGAGAGAGGATGAGGGAGCAAGAGTAGCCATTGAGTGTTGCACTTTGTGCTTGATCTCTTGTCAGAGCCAACCAATTTTTGATGCAACGATAAAAAGGTTTTGAGGCCGCATTTTATAACGACCTTTTACAAATTGTATCTGGGGGCGTTCCTTATCCTCCGGTTATAAATATATTATTTGGTATTTCTACTTAATACTTCGTATAAATTTTTTTTTTTCGTATCCTATCCGATTAAATTTGATATTTTTATCCAACTTTCTACCTGATTAATCAGATAGGAAGTTGAATAAATATTTTTATAACTATTAAATTTTGAATTATTTTAACAATTCAATTAAATAAGATGTATCAATTTAAAAACAATAAATCAATAACACTAAAATATAAAACAACTACAACAACAATTACAACAAAACATAAAAAAAATATGAACATCAATCCATCATAAATGTTACACAAATGTAATAATAATTATTTTAATTTTAAACCATATGAAACACATTAAAATCATAACTGCTCCAATAGATCACCACAAATCATATAACCTACACAAAACAAGTCCATATTTTGGCAACTCAAACATCCACATGTTATAATATAAATTATACCACACAAATACTTTTATAATTATTAAAAAAAATATAAAAAAATTAAATATATTTTTTGCGGATATGATAGGGTAGAAATGCGAAAATTGATAGGTATTCTGCATTTCTACCCAATTTAATCGAAAGACTAAAAACTCTTTCGTATTCTTATTCGATTTTTGCGGCAAGCCGTTCAATAGGGGTAGGGTAAGAGTCGGATCGGATAGGATAAGAAATTACGACCAATTNACTCTTTCGTATTCTTATTCGATTTTTGCGGCAAGCCGTTCAATAGGGGTAGGGTAAGAGTCGGATCGAATAGGATAAGAAATTACGACCAATCGAAAATTTGAACACCCTTAACAGTATCCTATAACACTAAATTGAAACAACTCTTTTGCCAATGTTAGGGTGAGATTTATTTTTTTATAAATATTCTAATTTAAGTTGAATGATTTGCCTATAATTTAATCGAATAAGGGATTAATTAAGGTGTTAATAAATTAATTTAAATATCTTTAACCGTTAAACTAATAAAAAAGAAAAGAAAAGAAAAAATAATGTTAATTAGACTTTAGTGACCTAAGTAATATACATTAGTGATGGTGAGAGCAAACAGATTGAAATTTCGGTAATTCTTTTTGTTTTTTTGTTCAATGATCTAGAGTGTTCAAATAGTTTATATACGTCTTAACTAATTCTTTCTTTGTTTAGTAAAAAGTAAATCCTCTATATTGAGAGTAGGGTATTTTAGGAGAAGGGTAAATTAACTTTAAAAAAGGAAAAAAAGAAAAAAAGGCTGGTAGACTATCAGCCATTGATCTTAATAAATCCAAGGGAAAAGGCAATGCCAATTTTACAATGTACGGTACTATGGTCTAAANAGGCTGGTGGACTATCAGCCATTGATCTTAAGAAATCCAAGGGAAAAGGCAATGCCAATTTTACAATGTACGGTACTATGGTCTAAAGCAGTACACTGAAAGTCCACTTCAGATAATTAGAACGTTGGCGTCATCCGCGCACCTATTTAAACTTCCTCGTTACTAAGCTCTCTCAAACTAGCCGTTGCAATCTCTGCTTTCTCACACTCTCTCTCTCAACCTTTTCATTTTCTCTCTCTGAATCCAAAAGGGGATCTCATGGCAACCTCAGTGGAATCATCGTCTCCTGATACTTTCATTAAGGTTTGCTTTCTCAAACTCTTCACTGAATAAATTCCACTGAATCTAGTCGATTTAAACCCTAATTGCAGTGTCAAATTCGAATCCATAATTACATGTATTAGATCTCAACATACTAATTAAAAACCAAATCACAGGGATCTACATGCTTGATGGTTTCATCTCCAATGTTCAGTCCATCATCAGATAAGCGCTTCTGGAGCACTCTCCGTAGCCGTATCGACACGCTTCTCGAGAGTCGGAAACCTATTGATCTATCTTTGTCCACCCAAATTGTGAGTATCAGAGTCTTTGCCTGATTTTTCTTTGAATTTTAGTTGATGATCATCTCTTTCTTTAAGATGAACTGACGGTTGGTGTTGAAAATCGTTAATAGAATGGTGGTGGAGGAGCGGACCGCGCAAAGCGTCTGAAGGAGGACTCTTTGCTTCTTCTCAGAGGGTTTGACTCTGTTGGCTATTCCTTGTCTCAGCTGTCTCACAATCTGGAGAATGCCCTTCAGGTACCAAGACAAACTCTTCTCGATCATCGGAAGTTTAACTGTCCTTATCTTGAATTGGGATTATTTCGATTACTCTCTCTCTCTCTCTCTCTCTCTCACACACACACACACACACACAGGCATACATATTTACTGTATAGGGTTTATTGTTCTTCTCAGAAATAGGGTTCTGAAAGTTGTTTATTACAGATGATAGCGGATACCACCAATTTTGTTGCTATAAATTTGTCTACAGAGTAGGTAGTTTGAATTTTTGAGAAAATTATGATTTTGATAATATTCCATGTGACCTCTGTTTCCCAGGGAACAAGAGATCTTACTAGGCCACCCACATTCACTGATATGGTTCACAACATTTCGGAGAAGGCCAATGGTGAAGAACAATCAAATAGAGAAGAAGAAAAGAATGAAGATAACAATAGACGATTGAAAAGGAAATTTGACTCTAAAGAATGGTCTCAGGGGGAGGATGATTCACCAAAAGAGAATGGGAAGAGCCAGAATGCTTTGGGAAACCTGAAGAAAGCCAAGAATGTTAGTTTCTCTGTTTGATCTGCAATGCTTGAAGAGTATAGATTTTAAGGAGTTTGTGTCAATTGCTTATTGTTTTTATCTCTTGTTGTAGCTTGCAATTTCCATGGCGACCAGAGCGGCTTCACTTGCAAGAGAATTGAAATCAATAAAATCAGATTTAGGTTTTATGCAAGAGCGGTGTGCTCTTATTGAGGAGGAGAATAGGAGGCTTCGTGAAGGTTTTTCCAGAGGAATGAGGCCTGACGAAGATGATCTGGTATCTTCATAATCTCACTCCTTTTAACTAATTGCTATAAGTTCGATCATTTAATTTTTCACTCAATTCATAGAAAAACATGTTGTAATTTTGCTGTTAAGAGAAAATCTTGTAAATATTGAAACCGATTTGAATGAGTTGTAACCATTTGACAAACAATGAGCCAAAAAAGAAGCCTCCATAGACCCCCCCCCCCTCGATGTGCTATGGAGGGATTTGAAATTGAAAGGGTTCAAAAGAAGGACAACTTCGGCCCATTTTTGAGAGATTGATTTCCGGGCTCCAAGACACGACATATCACTTGTAAAGCAGGCAAATGAAAAAGCAAGCATGGGGTAGAATAATGTACATGCAAAAATTTGGTGCATTCAATATTTTTTTTTTCGTGTTTTTGATCTAGAATAATGTTCAAATTTTAATAATGTAGCATGTTTACTGGGACAGGTAAGGCTTCAATTGGAGGCACTCCTAGCTGAGAAGTCCAGATTAGCAAATGAGAATGCAAACTTAACTAGGGAAAACCAATGCCTTCACAATCTTGTGGAGTACCACCAGCTCAACTCTCAAGATCTCTCTGCATCCTATGAGGATTTAATAAGGGGAATCTGCCTGGACTTTTCATCTCCACCGCCATCCATACCTGAAGAGGATGAAGATACTTGTACTGATGAAGCTACAAAAACACCCAGAACTGATGTGTTTGGATTCTCCACTTCTTTGGATCAATGCTATGGTGAGGAAGAACAGATGATTAAAAATTGTTGAAGGGATGACCATGGGAGTGGCTTATTGTTTGATAACTTCATTGGAATGGGGCTGAATATCAACTCCCATGTGTAAATTTTGATCTCTGCTTCTTAGTGGAGAATTTTGAAGAAATTGTTTGCAACAATGATGTAGGATTGGAATGTCATAAAACTCACAATAAAGAGAGAAGGATTGAATTAATTTTAAGAACTGCCATCAATCACTGCAATATTTTTTATTTTTTAGGGGAGGTCAATTAATTTGGTTGTACTTTATTTGGAGCACTAATGCGAGGACCACTTAACCACCCTCCATGGTATCAAACAGAAAATTCACAAAATTTTTCCAGTGGGCCTCCAAACCACAAATAACAAACAGCTGCATGATCATCCAATGACTTCCGATTATAAGAATAAATTTTGCACTCTAGGTACAGTAATAATAAGGGTAAATTGTAGTGAAAATTGGAAGTGAGTCCCCTTAGATGTATTTGTTTGAAAATAGGTCTGGTAAGAAAACTTATAAGGGGTTAAGTCCATGTTTAAATTATATGTAATAACTTAAGTCCACCTTTTTTTTTTTTTTTTTTTCAAAATCACCCTTAACGGTGTTAAGTTTGGTCAACTATGGAAAGTCATATATTATATATATATACCAACAGAATGATCAGTTTTTTATGGAAACTAAATATATCTTATTATAATGCTTGAATTACGTCAAAATCTGTGGTCTTTTAATTCAAATTCAGATCATAAGATTACATTAATAATTCAAATTCAAATTCAAAATTTGAATCACTTAAAATACGTTTTTTTGTTACACAAGGTGCTGAATCACAGTAAATCTAAACGTTTTTGAAATTTCTCAAGAAATATGCGGTGTTCTTCTTCTTCATAACATACCGCTACTTTATTTTTATTTTACAGGAGTGTCGAAGGTGATAGCAACAGTAACAGGAGTTCGAATTTTTATGTGATTTCAGTTCAACCTACTAGTTCTTGATTTTCGGAGGTATTTTCACTTTAATTGACTTTTTTTACATAACATGATTAACAGTGCTGCTTTGAAATTACTGTAAATTGGAAGTTACTTTGCCAGACATTCGATGTTACTTACCGGAATTTTGCATTTCAACGTTATTTATCGGAGTTATTTAATTTTTTTTTGAAATTAGGTTCTAAGTTTTGTTTTTCATGTTACTGGTAGTGCTTTATTAGAATTAGAATTAATTATTTTCGTTTTTTTTGTTCTTGCCAAAATTTAATGTTACTTACAGGTGTTCGTATTGCGACGTTATTTAGCGGCTTTTTTTTTTTAAATAAGGTTCTAATTTTATTTTTTCATGTTCTTGTTTGTGTTGTATTGCAATTAGAATTGATTATGTTTGTTTTTCTATTTTCATTTTCTCTTTATATTTGTTTTATTGGTTATAACAGATGGAGGATAATATATTGGTTTGTTGCAAGTATTGTTCTGAGATTGTTGTGCTAAGAATTATAATGAATTCCACAATGGATGATTTGTTACATGGGGTGTGTGACAATTGGAATGGGTTGAGTTCCAATTGTGTTGCCTGTCGTACGCTATTCTTGGACACCCGAATTGCGTTTTACAAAATGATCATGATATGAGAAACATGTTTCTAATTGCATGATCTGTTCAGTTGAATTTTGTTGAAGTTATAGTTGTTGTTAAAGGGAATGTGGTTCGTGATTTTGAGGGTGAGAAAGTTGTGAAAAGTTCTGAATTAACTATTGATCATATTGGTCGCTAGGATGATCTTCTCCCTCGTTTTTGTTCTCACAATGAGAAGGTTTTGTTGACTGATGGATGATCTAATGGAATAGTAGAGGTTGACCAGAAGTTTGAGGTAGGAGTAGCTGATTTTCGGAATGCTTTATGCAAATATGCAATTAAGGTTGATTTTTAGTTTAATTATGTGAAGAATGAAAAAGTAAGGGTGAAGGCTGAATGTGTAATTAAATATTCTATTGGGTGTGAGTGATTTCTTGTTGCTACACTCCAACGGATAAATGGATGATTTTACATTAAGAAGTTAAACAAAGAGCACACGTGCGGTGTGGCTGCACGTATGACAAAGAATAAAAGATTGACTTCTAATTTGGTTGGAGGTCTTATTGTTGACAATGTCCGACAAAAACTTGACACACAACCAATTGGTGTGAAAAATATGTTTCATACAAATTATGCTTTGACCATATCGTATGATCAAGATTGGATGGGTGTTGAAAAAACAAGGGGTATGCTGTTTGGGGATCATTTGTTGTCAATTATGGTGGTATGTACATGCCGTTAATAAAAGCAATCTAGGTAGTCATTTTTTGTGATGAAAGGTGATTCGGACATGCGGTGTTTTAGTAGGTTGTTCATGTCATTTAAGACATGTATACATGGAATTAACTACTGTCTCATTGATGGTACATTTTTAAAGGGAATATATAAAGACATTATTTTGTCTGCAACTACAAAAGATGGGAAACAAGGTGATTTTTTTGGTTTATTTTGGTGTTACTGATTTTATTTTAATGTTACATTTTAATATTTGTATTTATGTTACTGTTTACTTATGTTACTGTTTTGTGTTGTTATACGTATTGCAGGTTTGTTCCCCTTGGCTATTGTTGTTGTTGATTCGGAGAATGAGTGTAATTGACGTTGATTTTTAGAACAATTAGCTGAGATTGTTGATAATACTAGGGACCTTACCAATATGTCCGATCGCAATGTTGGCTTGATGGAAGCAATGCAAAAGGTGTTCCTAACGGTGCACCATTCGTTCTGCCTACAACACCTAAAAGCAAATCTGAGGGATAAGTATAATGGGTGCCGCTTTACCCATGTGTTCCGTGAGCGTATGATTTTTTTGTTTACATTGTATGCTTATGCTCTGACATAGGCATTTTTCAATGAAAAGCTTGATGATTTTTGACGTGAAGGAGGAGTCGTTGCTGATAAGTTCTTGGAAAACCTTATATTTGAGAAATGAGTGAATGTTTTTTTCAAGGGGAAACATTATGGGGGGTTGTCTTCAAATACTGCCGAGTCATTCAATGCTTAGATCACAAAGTCACGTCACTTACCTGTTACAAGCATGATTGACACAATAAGGGGGCAGATCATGAAACAAATGGGCTGCCGCTTGAATACATTGTCACAGTGGAACGACATTAATTGTCCAAATATTAAATCCAAACTTTAAGCTGCTTTCATTGAGTGTCATTCTTGGTTTGTTAGGGTGTCATCAAGTCATGTTTTCGAGGTTAATTCACATCCTTCAGTGACGATTGACATTGATAGTTTCACTTACTCATACCACCAATGACAGATCAACGGTTTACCATCTGCCCATTTTGTGGCTACAATTCAAAAGAATGGTAGAAACATCAATGAGTTTGTTAATTACTATTATCAGGTAACTACTTACAGATTGTGTAATTCTGAGCCTATACACCCTATTCTAACACTCGGTCGTTTTGACTTTTCAGTGGTTAACGTTGATATGTTGCCCTTATTGTCAAAAAAACAACCGGGCCATCCAAGGAAGCGTAGATTTAGATCTAGAGGTAAGCTTGTTAGGAAAATTCATTATAGCCGTTGTGGCCGTTTAGGTAGTCATAATAAGAAGACTTGTAACGAGCCATTGTAATTTGGAGGATGTTTTTTTGGAATAAGATGTTACTTTTTTTTTCAACTATTTGTGTTTGTCATGTTACACATTGAGAATATCACAAGTTAAAAAGTGTGATAAACTAATAGTGTAGTATTATCCTTGCATGATCAATATAAGTTTCGTGTTACTGTTAATGTGACTCCAATGTTACTATATAATGCTCATGTTAGAGAGTAACTAATGTTACTTTTTAACAAGGATTTTATGTGATTGTTTAATTTGGAGAAATTTAAATCATGTTACCACACACGTTACTTTGCTTGGATAACCAAGCATGAAAGAGTTTTCAACCGTTTTCAAAGAAATTATATAAACAATACCCAGCCATGCGGATAACAACATTTACATTCCACTAACAACTTCATTTCATCATTCTAGAATCATATAGAATTTCTAATATGGAACAATTTTTATACATGTTACTATTTGAGTTACTATTTGAATAATAATGTAGATAGAGTTTCCTTTGTTTTACAAACATTCCATTATAATCAAATATCAATCACCTAACAATTACAACCAATTTATAACCAAATATTAACCACCCAACAATTACAACCAATTTTCTAACCAATCTTGCAATTAGTATAAAAATGAATAATTATCCCACACATTAGTATTTCCTGTTTGTCTTTGTATCTCTTTCTCAATCTTGTTTTTGTCTTGTAATCTTTAATAGTCTATGCATTCTTATAGTTTATGAATGTAGAGACCATATCGATCCGAAGAGCGTTCGGTTGAGGTGGTTTCAATTTCTCTTCTATTTGTTGTTCACAAGCAAGCTACTGCATTCAGTAACACACGTACAATCTGCAGTCGATCCTATATTCATGTATTTTTGTTAATGAGATTTAATTTAATATAGTTAAATGTATACTATTTTATTATTTACATACGTGTCAACTCGTTGTTGAAGGCATTTTTTATATGAAGATAGTGGACATTTGATGTCTAGTGTGCTGATAACAATTTCATCATTTGTCTTCAATGACTTCCTTTGTCCTTCTTTGGATGCCGTCTCCACCTAGTCTTTTTGCTATAATAAAATATTGTTAATGTTGTACATTGAAAATATATCAAACAATGTTGGTTGTTCAGATTTTATTAACTTACCAATATTTTTGCATCCTCAAAAAACTTGTTCACAATTCCACTTCGTGGTTTGAAAGAGTTGTAATGGATCCATTTCCCTGCTTCTGTATCCAATACAAGCAAGGTTCAGTGGAATGAAATAGGCTGGGAGCGTTGCACATCTGAATTCATTGAAAATACAAGAAATGGCCAAACCTGCCCCAAGTTCATATTGTTATCTATCTCAACTTGTCGTGAGTGTTCTTGCCCCCCAACTGTTACAAAAGTCTACATGTTAATTTATAGTAACCCATAAATTTTACAGACTATAGAACAGCAACATTCATGTTACTTTACCCATGTTACTAGTCAAATACTCCAGCAATCAAGAATTCAACGTATGTTACACAATCTTAACCAGCACAGACTGTTGACATCCATGTTACTATANC